CGACATTTTTCAATCCGAATGGCATAACTATGTAGCAATACAGGCCCCTCTCCGTAATGAATGATGTAGCTTCCTCATCAGGTCGGAACATGGGTATCTGGTTGTACCCTGAGTATGCATCCATGAAACTCAGTAGTTCATGCCCAGCAGTGGAGTCCACAAGTTGATCAATTCTTGAAAGTGGGAAGCTGTCCTTGGGACACGCCTTATTTAGGTTTGTGAAGTCCACACATACCCTCCACTTCCCGCTGGACTTTTTCACCAGAACCGGGTTGGATATCCACCTCAGATATATGGCCTCTCTGATGAAACCACTGTGGCTAAATTTACTTACTTCGTCTTTCAGTGCCTCGTACCGTTCCAGGTTCAGGGCGCGCCTCTTCTGTCTATGGGGGGCATAAGAGGGGTTGATGTTAAGGTGATGGCAACTGATCCTAGGATCTATTCCCACCATATCTTCATGTTTTCATGCGAAGACATCCAGGTTTCCTTTCAGGAATCGTATCATCTCAGTTTTTGCTTCAGGTGATAATGACTTCCCTATGCGCAAGACTTGATTGGGGTCTTCCGGGTTGACGGGAAAGTTTCCAGTTCTTCCATGGGGGTCGCATTTGGTTCATAATCGATTATTCGGGGGTCTAACTCATCAAGAGGGTGTCCTTGTTCAGGGGCCTCTTCCATGTCGACGTCTCCCTCTTGTTCAGAGGTATGCCCTTGTTCAGGGGCGTCGAACATTTTCACGTCCGTACCGACTTCAGCGGGTACCTCGGCTAGGATTACATTAACAGTTCGGGGCTCGGATTTGCGCAGCGAGTTTAGGTAGCATGCCCTGGAGCCCATCTGATCACCCCGGACTGTTACAATCCCATGTTCGGTTGGGAATTTCATGCACAAATAGTGAATAGACGTTACAGCCCAAAGATCTTTCAGAGCGGGTCTGCCCAATACTCTATGATAAGCCGATCTATGATCTACCACCAGAAATTCCATGAAATGCTGGGCGACTAAGGGTGCCGAACCCATTTCCACAGGCAGGGTGATTCGCCCTCGTGGGACGATGATGTCCCCAGTGAATCCGAACAGTGGGTCGGTCATGGGGATCAACCATGTTCAATTTGCATTTTGTCAAAAGTGGAGTCGAACAATATGTTCACGGAACTGCCATTGTCAACGAGCATGCGTTTCAATCCGTTTCTAGCTACTACGGCTATTACAACCAAAGCATCGCAATGGGGGTGGTGAACTCCCTCTGAGTCTTCCTGGGAGAAGGTGATTGGGGCCATCTTATTTGCTGATTTCGATTCGTCAACAATGTAAGTGATCATCGGGGGATCCTTAGCTTCCCTTGTATAATTTCTCTGGGCATTCCTGGTATTGCCACTGACGTGGGGTCCCCCAATGATGGTATCGATTTCCCTGATGACCTGGCCTCCCGAAAATTGGGCTTGGTTCCCTGCCTAGATTGGCCTCGGTTCCTCGATTCTCTTCTACGAGGAGATTGTTCCTGGTGACCTCTCCCTCCCCTCCTCGGGGAGGTGGATCTGCGAGGGTGTTCGTTTCTGCTGGAAGTGTGAGGGTTGCTTCGATCAGGGCGCCGATTGGCATCACGACACTCGCTGGTGTCATGTCCGTATAGTTGATGGAACGTACAAAACCTTGCTCCTGCCAAGGGTCTGTTTGGCCTCTTTTTCTTCTTCTTATTGTTATCAGTTCTTCCAGATGGTCTCGCCTCAGCAGGGGCGTTATCATATGCCAACACCGGCACTGCATTCAATGTGGCATAAGCTAGGGCCTGTCCGGATGTGGGAGCTATGGTATGCCCTGCTTGGGTCCATTGCTGAGTAACAAGGTGTGCTGCGGGGCCTCGACCTACCTGCCTCTGTAGAGGAGGGAGTCCCTGCGCGGCACGGTTGCGATGATTAATCATTTCTTCACTAACAATTTCCACTCTCATCATTTCCACCAGCTCGTCGTATGTGGAGGGATTCTTGCTGCGCATGTCCCTCCAAAACAAAGTGTTCATGTTGAGCCCACCTTTCAGGGCTGAAAGGGCTTCCCTGTCAGTGACCTGTTCGCAGTAAGTAATTTCGTCTGTAAACCTGGCGAGATAGCTTTTTAGCGTCTCTCCAGGGGTGTGCCTCATGTCTTGTAGGCGTTGAATTGGCATCTCTCCTTCCTTGCGTGAGAGGTACTGGTTCAAAAATGCTTTCTTCAA